AGGTAAGTGCTACTGGGAACGACTACCTCCTCTCCCACCCACAGGTAAGTGCTATTGGGAACTACTACCTCCTCTCCCACCCACAGGTAAGTGCTATTGGGAACTACTACCTCCTCTCCCACCCACAAGTAAGTGATACTGGGAGGAACTACTACATCTTCTCCCACCCACAGGTAAGTGCTACTGGGAACGACTACCTCCTCTTCCACCCACAGGTAAGTGCTACTGGTAACCATAGGTCCCCTTCCACCCACAGGTAATCATAAGTGTTCCTGGAAATGTTACTTCGGCTAGTTGCTGTAGATAATTCTTCAGCTACTGTATGATAAGGCATAATGATTAAAGTGCTCTTGTTTCTATAAGTGCCTCATCCATTACAAGCACCACTTGTATAAGCACCATAAGCATATTTGTTCTGGTCCAAATATCCCATTTCTTCAGCATAATGTATCATCTTATATAAAGGGCCTTTAAAGGTTGAGATTTGATAAGGTTCTGGTTGACTGCTATTATTCAATTTCTCTCGAACTGCTCAGAAACCAGGACATTTGTGAGGTTTCATACAGAATGTGCAGAGATTTAAATTATGGCTAAAATATCAAAATTTTCTCATAAAAGTGGCCTCTTCAATATTAAAATAAGTCACCCCATTAACAGCGTCGGTAGTTAAATGAGCCCTTTATGACACCATAGGAGAAATGTTGGTTTTGTACACCTAACTATAATTTTGTTTCAGGTTTATTTCAGACAAGTTTTACCCGGTAGATGGATTAGGCTTTGGTGACAATGAAAAGGACTGTCTTGGTGAAGATCACAACTTGGGGTGAGTTTATAATTCAAACTTTAAAGTAAGCTCAATATGTTAAAGTCATGTCTAAAGTAGGAGAAAACATCTGCTTGTAGTGGTCATAATGTGCTCTTACTTCTGTAGTATGCTGCTGCTACAGTAGACGCCACAGCTTTATCTTATTTTTGAAGTAAATATCCTGATTGTAGAACCTGTAGCCTAATCTAACATCTGAAGTAAGTGTCCTGGATGTAATAACCATACTCTACTTTAACTCATTGACCCCTGAAATTTCACAATGAACTATTCCAACTTTTGAATTGGAAGAGTTCAAATGTGTCTTCATGGGTCAATGAGTTAACTTCTTTAGTAAGCATCCTCTGTAGTGGACATTATCTTATTTGCACATCTATAAGTACACATTCTCTGTTATAAGCAATACCCAGAGCGCTCTCAGTTTGATCTCTATAGAATGTGTCTTTCACTTGCATTGATACATCATGGTGGACAAGATCTCTAAAACGTCCATACTAACATCCAGAATCAAACCTCTATCATCTGTGCAGAATACCAGTGAATTAAGCACTGGCCCAACCGATACATGTTAATTATATATAAAAAGACATTGAATCAAAATGTCATGAAACATTGCCAAATACTCTTCTTTATCATCCTTGGCATCACTTTGAAGTTATTGAAATGTGAATAAGAATTATCTCCCTTATTTAAACAGGCTAAAGTTTCAAATTTTCATTGAAACTTGAACCTTTGAAATAATTATAACATGTGAAACGTTTTCATAAATTTTTGAAGCTTGAAAGAAAAAATTATAACTAATGGGGTTTTTTTAGAAATAAATACTTTTATATATTTTACAATATACATGTATATACATGTACCAATGCAATGTACTGGATTACGGCCGTAAATTTGAATAATTATGTTTTAAGCATTGTATCTTGAACATGATTTTATAGTGTCATGCTTGTTGAGTTAAAAAGTTCATGTTTTTTTATGCAATTATAACAGTTTTACGTCAGCGATTCGGTCTGGTTTTGTGTACAAGGGGAGTGAGACAATTGCTGTTGGGGGCGGAGACGACATGTGGGTCTTCCTCAACGGTGTCCTAGTTCTGGAGGTCATAGCCAGGGGAGAGGGCGCAAACATACCCTGTAAGAAAATCGACATATCAGCTGCTTCATCATCAGGTAAACATGCAACATTTCATTTGCATAAACTCAATATTAATTTTGGATAATTTCAAAAAACTTGATCTGATATATCATGTTAAACCAAATTTGATACAATGAATATAATTTGTACTGCCAGGTTTTTTTTAGAAAATGTTTCTTAAAAATCAGTATTTGGAATAATATATTCCCATATAAATTCTAATTATTATAACAAAACTTGACATTGATGTGTGTGTGTATAGTTGAGAGATGAAAACAGTTCAGAAAATGTTAAAATTTACAGTTCATTAAAACATTAACATAATGATGGGGAAAACAAGAAAGACTTTATCTAATTACTGAAAGAATTATGGAATAATGATACATGTGTTCATGTTATGTAAAGAATTTAAAGCAATTCTTCTAACCTTTGACCCCTCCAGGTGGAGCCACCCTGACTCCCCTATCGGGGTATGTGGTAAACAGCCAGTGTGTCACTTCCAACACAGAAATCAATGAAAATGTAACACTGGAACTTGAGGTAAAAGACAAGAGCATTAAAAATTAGTTTTTTCTGTAATTAATTAAAAGCTTCAGATAAATAAAGTGGACTGCTACCACTGTTGCCTACCATTTAAATCTACAGTCAGATAACAACTGCCATATATGACTTGATATATGCCGCATTTGCTGTGTTCTATAGAACTGTTTGTATCTGTTCTGACGTTGACTGTTACAGGTAGGGGAGAGATATCACTTTGCTGTGTTCTGTAGAACTGTTTGTATCTGTTCTGACGTTGACTGTTACAGGTAGGGGAGAGATATCACTTTGCTGTGTTCTATAGAACTGTTTGTATCTGTTCTGACGTTGACTGTTACAGGTAGGGGAGAGATATCACTTTGCTGTGTTCTATAGAACTGTTTGTATCTGTTCTGACGTTGACTGTTACAGGTAGGGGAGAGATATCACTTTGCTGTGTTCTATAGAACTGTTTGTATCTGTTCTGACGTTGACTGTTACAGGTAGGGGAGAGATATCACTTTGCTGTGTTCTATAGAACTGTTTGTATCTGTTCTGACGTTGACTGTTACAGGTAGGGGAGAGATATCACTTTGCTGTGTTCTATAGAACTGTTTGTATCTGTTCTGACGTTGACTGTTACAGGTAGGGGAGAGATATCACTTTGCTGTGTTCTATAGAACTGTTTGTATCTGTTCTGACGTTGACTGTTACAGGTAGGGGAGAGATATCACTTTGCTGTGTTCTATAGAACTGTTTGTATCTGTTCTGACGTTGACTGTTACAGGTAGGGGAGAGATATCACTTTGCTGTGTTCTATAGAACTGTTTGTATCTGTTCTGACGTTGACTGTTACAGGTAGGGGAGAGATATCACTTTGCTGTGTTCTATAGAACTGTTTGTATCTGTTCTGACGTTGACTGTTACAGGTAGGGGAGAGATATCACTTTGCTGTGTTCTATAGAACTGTTTGTATCTGTTCTGACGTTGACTGTTACAGGTAGGGGAGAGATATCACTTTGCTGTGTTCTATAGAACTGTTTGTATCTGTTCTGACGTTGACTGTTACAGGTAGGGGAGAGATATCACTTTGCTGTGTTCTATAGAACTGTTTGTATCTGTTCTGACGTTGACTGTTACAGGTAGGGGAGAGATATCACTTTGCTGTGTTCTATAGAACTGTTTGTATCTGTTCTGACGTTGACTGTTACAGGTTGGGGAGATATACCACTTTGCTGTGTTCTATAGAACTGTTTATATCTGTTATGGTGTTGACTGTTACAGGTAGGGGAGAGATATCACTTTGCTGTGTTCTATAGAACTGTTTGTATCTGTTCTGACGTTGACTGTTACAGGTTGGGGAGATATACCACTTTGCTGTGTTCTATAGAACTGTTTATATCTGTTATGGTGTTGACTGTTACAGGTAGGGGAGAGATATCACTTTGCTGTGTTCTATAGAACTGTTTGTATCTGTTCTGACGTTGACTGTTACAGGTTGGGGAGATATACCACTTTGCTGTGTTCTATAGAACTGTTTATATCTGTTATGGTGTTGACTGTTACAGGTAGGGGAGAGATATCACTTTGCTGTGTTCTATAGAACTGTTTGTATCTGTTCTGACGTTGACTGTTACAGGTTGGGCAGATATACCACTTTGCTGTGTTCTATAGAACTGTTTATATCTGTTATGGTGTTGACTGTTACAGGTAGGGGAGAGATATCACTTTGCTGTGTTCTATAGAACTGTTTGTATCTGTTCTGACGTTGACTGTTACAGGTTGGGCAGATATACCACTTTGCTGTGTTCTATAGAACTGTTTATATCTGTTATGGTGTTGACTGTTACAGGTAGGGGAGAGATATCACTTTGCTGTGTTCTATAGAACTGTTTGTATCTGTTCTGACGTTGACTGTTACAGGTAGGGGAGAGATATCACTTTGCAGTGTTCCATGTTGAGAGGCTGCAGTGTGCTTCCAGTTTGTTCATACAGACTGAGGACTTTGACTTTATTGTGAATCCTGAAGATGAGCCACCCCGTGATTATGTCATCAGCTTTGACGAGGATTATCATGTGAACGGCATCATACAGGAATTGGTTTTATCGGATGTCTTTTCCTCAGGTCCACCGTTCACTGTAGATATCATCAGAGGTACACTACCAAGCATTAATTATTTAGTCATTTTAATATCAAAATAACCTGTCAAAGTTTATTTGAGCAAATAATGTCATATCTGATCTTTAGAATTAAAAAAAAAAGTTTATTTATATCCCCTGTAACACGGTATGCATGTACTGGAATCAGTTTGTCCGTCTGTTCTTTCGCCTTCAACTTTTTGATTGAAACAACTTCTTCTGAATTACCAATACATGTAGGTCTAGAGTGATGACATTAATAACAGATTTAAGTGGCAGCGTGCTAGGATGAATGACTTTGACCCATTTTATGGTAATGATGTTCAAATTTGTTAAAAACTTTAAGCAAGTTCTTCTAAATAGCTGAAATGGCTAAGGTGATGATACTTAGCCAGAAGCATGCCACTGGGGTAAAATTTGTCCACACCTTTAAAACCATATTCTGAATAACGATGAGACCTAAGGTCATGATATTTGGCTAATGCTGTAAAGTGATATTAAGTGTGGGATCTGAATGAATGACCTAGACTAATCAATTTTTTGAAGACCATAATAACTTAAAATGTTCTAAGGGAGATACAAAATATGGAGAGTAGAACAATCTTACAAGACCCATGATGTGTAAAGTAATGTTATATAGCCTTTTAGAATGAATTACCGTAAATTAATTTGATCTTGACGACTTTGAATGTCACAGATGTGAATTGAATGACAAGTGAGTGATACAGGTCCATTGGACCTCTTGTATAACTTTCCAATGTTTTATAGCTTGTAGAATATGGATACATTATTGCATATTACAAAAACAAAGGTTTCCAGCAGTGTTATATCATTTAAATTTGCAGGAAATGAAGCACGTCATTTTACAATGCTGGACAACACTGCTGGTAACCAGGCAGCCGCTGTAGCACCACCTGTAGTAACCCCAACCTTCACAACTGTCAACGGTATCCAGTTTGTTGGTAAGAGCATTGTTAGAATATTTTTATAATTGTATTACTTCGTTATTCGTTAGGGATTAGTTTTCATGTTATTTCATGAGGAGATCAATTAAAACATATTTATTTTCCAAGAATATTATCGCATAGAAAATTATTATCTGTATGGAAATGCAGGCATCCTCGCAGTTGAGAATTGCAAACATAATCCTACTCTGATAGTTTATGAAATAAACAACACACAGAAATAAAATAATACACTTGTTTTACAATCCAATGTCATGTTTTAGATGTTTTTTGTCTTGCCGCTACAAAGTAGCAGAAGCAAGACTATTTCAGGTGTTGCTTTTCCGGCGACTGCAGCAGAGTCAACATTAAGTTTTTGTGTTTAAGTTAGTTTCACTTAAAATATAAGTGCTAGACCAACCAAACTTTGACTATAGATGCATCTTAGGTAGTACATGGCAAGCCATGCATCAAATGCTGGATGCGGCCTACCATTCATGGTCCATTAATTTTGTCAGCATCTCCATCAACATTAAGTTTTTGCATTTAAGTTAGTTTCTCTGAAACTGTAAGTGCTAGACGTACCAAACTTGACATGTGCATTTTGATGGTCAAAGCGGGGCACAGGCTAGACATATCAATCAGAATGGCTTGTAAAACATTACTCACCACTGAAATCTTTTTAATTCTCACCGTCCTCCATTTCTCCTACACACAATTCTGACCATGGTTTAATCACGTATTTCCTCTCCCCCTACTGTTTTTTCAGAGTGTTCCTCTCCGTCCTCTGTGACCCCTGAAGGACACGACACGGCCGTAGAAACCTTTACGATAACTACAGAGATTGGACTGTTCACGTTGGCCTCAGCCTTTGACTACGAAGCCAATAACACATACACTGTTGTAATACAGGTGACAGACCCTGGTAGAACTCCCCCTGATGGCATAGTCACAGTCAAGGTATATAACAATCACAGACCTGACACTTACCCATTTTCTGTTATGTGCCCCTGTATGACCTTATTCAACAGGACATATTATGTTGATGGGCTGTTCAGACATATTGTTTATCATCTGGGGGAAAAATATTTCATCATGAGGGAGATATGTAAAAAGTCACCGAGTTTTATAACTTACATTGTATGATACAACATTTCTTAGACAATCTGGAAAATTCCAATAGAAAAATGTGTATATATTTTTTTTTCCATTTCAAAAGTTTTCATGGCCTTTGTTGATCATTTGTAGGGTAGTGAAGGGAGGTATAACACTCAGCAGTTGTTATCTATCTGAAACTCATGTTCTGTTAACATTGTCAAACATTGTATTACGTCTAAAAATGATTATGCAAGAAAAGCTATAATTTAACAATCATGGAGACATTAAATTTATGTCCAACTAAAGTACATTACACATAAATTGTTCACTTAGCTGACAAAGACCTGGTACATGTACATTTGAACTCCATTAGTTATAGCGTTCAGTAGTTTGTTGTACATTCATAGAACTATTTTTTCACCTATTACCATTGTTTTACAGGTGAAGGTCAATGATGTAAATGATAATTGTCCAGAGATGAACCAGACTACCTATGCATTGAATGGGAATCCTTCTCTGCAGTTATCTCCCCTTGCCCAGGTCTTCGCATCTGATACAGACAGCGGAAACAATGCAGATATCTTGTTCTACATCTCCTCTATTGTAGCGGAGTAAGTCAGTGAACAGATTTTATTTTTGTGAGAATAAAACCAATTCAGATCAAGAAAGGAAGCTTCAAAGAATAACAGTCAGCCATGAAATCAGATCTTCAAAAGTTAAAACTTCTCAAAGTAAAATTTATTTCAGTTTCAGTTCAATACTTTGCGAAACTAACAGCTGAGAATATTTGATGGAACTGAAACTTTCTGGAAGCTAGTTGTTATTTTAATCTTTTTCACCTGATACAAAGGGCCTGTGAGCTTATGCTCTTGCCTGTCATGTGTCAACTTTTTTATTTCTACAATTTCTTCTAAAGTAATATTGTAGGTCAAAGATCAAGGTTAAAACATGATATACTACCTGTACTGTAGATTGCTTGGATAAAGGTATTTCAAGATTGCTCAAATAAATTACTTTGATTGACCCATATATACTTCAAGTCATAGGGTCATTTGTGATGAGAAAATGCAATAATCATCTTTCAAAGAACAACAATACTGTGAAATTACTCAAAACATCACGTCTGCAAAAATAACCTTGAATATGTATATTTTAATTTGATCATTTTAAAAATGACTTTTGCAATCTTGCAGTCCAGATCCTGTGCTTAGTTGGAATGAGACATTTAACCTGTTCAATGAAGTGTATGCTGCCAACACGACGCTTACATTTTCTGTGATTGCTGTGGATAATGGGGGGTACCCGACACGAGGCACCCAGGCAACCATCGAGTTTGTCTCGGACAACTCCTGTCTGATTGACGTGGAATACGGCCCCATCAGCTACTCCCTGGCGGTGGATAACTCCACAGGCCAGGTCTACTTCAGGACCCCCGGCTACTACTTCTACCAATATGGTCAGTTAGGATCTCATACTAAGACAAGTCTTTACAATATAACCTGTGTCAATATGTCCCATTATTCATCCAGTTTTAAGGGGAAAGATGGCCTTAATTTCCCAGTTATCAAACAATTTCATTATCCAGCCATCTTTACTAGGAGCAAGGGTGACTGGATTATTTGTATGAAACCAGGATGACTGAATTATTTGTTTGAAACAAGGATGACTAAATTACCTGTTGAGAGTAAGGGTAACTGATTATCTAAAGGGAACAAGGGTGACTTGTTCTTCTATAGAGAGTATGGGTAACTGATTATCTATAGGGAACAAGGGTGACTTGTTCTTCTATAGACAGTATGGGTAACTGATTATCTATAGGGAACGAGGGTTATTGGATTATCTGTAGATAGTATGGGTAACTGATTATCTATAGGGAACCAGGGTGACTGGATTATCTGTAGAGAGTATGGTTAACTGATTATCTATAGGGAACGAGGGTGATTTGATTATCTGTAGATAGTATGGGTAACTGATTATCTATAGGGAACCAGGGTGACTGGATTATCTGTAGAGAGTATGGGGAACTGATTATCTATAGGGAACAAGGGTGACTTGTTCTTCTATAGACAGTATGGGTAACTGATTATCTATAGGGAACGAGTGTGATTGGATTATCTGTAGATAGTATGGGTAACTGTTTATCTATAGGGAACGAGGGTGACTGGATTATCTGTAGAGAGTATGGGTAACTGATTTTCTATGGGGAACAAGGCTGACTGGATCATCTGTAGAGAGTATGGGTAACTGATTATCTATAGGGAACGAGTGTGATTGGATTATCTGTAGATAGTATGGGTAACTGTTTATCTATAGGGAACGAGGGTGACTGGATTATCTGTAGAGAGTATGGGGAACTGATTATCTATAGGGAACGAGGGTGACTTGTTCTTCTATAGAGAGTATGGGTAAATGATTATCTATAGGGACAAGGGTGACTGGATTATCTGTAGAGAGTATGGTTAACTGATTATCTATAGGGAACGAGGGTGACTGGATTATCTGTAGAGAGTATGGGTAACTGATTACATATAGGGAACAAGGGTGACTTGTTCTTCTATAGAGAGTATGGGTAAATGATTATCTATAGGGACAAGGGTGACTGGATTATCTGTAGAGAGTATGGGGAACTGATTATCTATAGGGAACAAGGGTGACTGGATTATCTGACCTGTTGAGAGTAAGGGTAACTGATTATCTAAAGGGAACAAGGGTAACTTGTTCTTCTATAGAGAGTATGGGTAACTGATTATCTATAGGGAACGAGGGTGACTTGTTCTTCTATAGAGAGTATGGGTAAATGATTATCTATAGGGACAAGGGTGACTGGATTATCTGTAGAGAGTATGGTTAACTGATTATCTATAGGGAACGAGGGTGATTGGATTATCTGTAGAGAGTATGGGTAACTGATTATCTATAGGGAACGAGGGTGACTTGTTCTTCTATAGAGAGTATGGGTAAATGATTATCTATAGGGACAAGGGTGACTGGATTATCTGTAGAGAGTATGGGTAACTGACCATCTATAGGGAACAAGGGTGATTGGATTATCTGTAGAGAGTATGGATAACTGATTATCTATAGGGAACAAGGGTGACTTGTTCTTCTATAGAGAGTATGGGTAACTGATTATCTATAGGGAACAAGGGGGACTGGATTATCTGTAGAGAGTATGGGTAACTGATTATCTATAGGAAACGAGGGTGACTGGATTATCTGTAGATAGTATGGGTAACTGATTATCTATAGGGAACAAGGCTGACTGGATCATCTGTAGAGAGTATGGGTAACTGACTATCTATAGGGAACAAGGGTGATTGGATTATCTGTAGAGAGTATGGGTATCTGATTATCTATAGGGAACAAGGGTGACTGGATTATCTGTAGAGAGTATGGGTAACTGATTTTCTATGGGGAACAAGGCTGACTGGATCATCTGTAGAGAGTATGGGTAACTGATTATCTATAGGGAACAAGGCTGACTGGATCATCTGTAGAGAGTATGGGTAACTGATTATCTATACGGAACAAAGGTGACTGGATTATCTCTGGAGAATTGGGGATATTCGATTGTTAAGGTTTCACTTTTTTGCTACTGTGACATAAATCTCCTTTGAAAAGAGTTCCACAAATCTGAAAGATAAACAAATATTATTTTTGTACCTCCTAAATCCTTCAAAGAACTCACTGCAGCATCAGCTAACTAGCATCATGCTAGCCTTAATTTATAACATGCAATGAAGCTCTGTTCACTTAAATAATAGATAACATGCAGACAATGGTATTGGCGTAATATATATATAGATAACCCTGCCTTCGGCTTGTACAAGCCTAATTAGCTTCATGACAGCTTAACAAAAAATTTGAAGCTAAATTATTTTCATAAGGATTGAAAGTTAAACTTAAGCTTTATGTCCATTTACAGTATTTAGGGTTTAAACTGATCATGTAATGAAAATGAACACAAACAATATCGTTAAGCTAACCAGGCTTTGATCAAATAGGCTCTGAAGTAATAAACAAGAAGGGAGATTACTCTAACAAATGTATAACCCTAATTCAACATGTTTTGTAGAATGTAGAGATGCCCTGGGCGTGGAGACTGGTGTAATCCTAGGTACACAAATGTCGGCGTCCTCCTCAGCAGACTTGACCAGTCCAGACCGGGGCAGGCTTAACATCGTCTCTCTCACACGTAAGTCAACAATTAAGTTAAATTGGTATTTAAAAGCTAGGAATAGTTAGAGATTTTCAGCTAGTTTGACCTGAATTGCTGTTGGGAAAAAAATGAAAATGTCTTGTTGAGATATTGTCGTAAGTAAGAGAACAACACATTTTTTGTAACAAAATATCACAAACATGGTCATTAAGATTATAGTCTGGTAAAAAGAAAATCATGAGACAGAATTTGGAAGACATTGCAAAGTTCTTATTTTCTCATTGTCTTCAAATTTTTACAACCTTTTAGAAAATCATCATGTATCAACATTTTTGGGATTTTTGGATACAATAATAATTAAGTTGAGTAAAAAATGATACAATTTAAATGATCTAGCGTTACATACCCATGATGATTGATAATAACAATTATAGAACAATGAAGACTTGGAATTTAATTTGATGGTTTTGAGGTAAGCAATGTGTAAAATGATCCACTGTAGAAAATTCAATTTACAATTATCATTTATCATGCTTGTGGTGTAGGATTTCTGGTGAACAATATTCTGTATAAAGCTTTGTGAAAATTGGTCTTGCATAAGGTGTAGTGCCAGAACAAATACTCTTATAAAATATTAAACATGTGATTTGACAATTTATTTTCTTAAAATCTACAGAAGGTAAGTCCTTATTGTGCTTGCTTAATTAAATTATCTTATTTTTTTCGTTTAGCTGTCAATGAATCTTTGTATTTGTTGTCACATGCATGGGGTCAAAACTTGTTTGGCCTAGTTCACAGTCAGTCTTAAGTTGTAAAATGTAAATTGGTACATTTGTAATTTGTCTTGAAGGGACAGATATTGAGTTCAAGTTATGTTATCTGCACACAAACGGCACAACACTTGATTGGGTTTAATCTGAAGATGTCATGGAAAGGAAGATAACTTATGATAGTGCGATGAAAATATGACAAATCTTTATCAATTTACCAAACATGTCAGCAAAAGGACAAAGCTTTATCAATTTACCAAACATGTCAGCAAAAGGACAAATCTTTTATCAATTTACCAAACATGTCAGCAAAAGGACAAAGCTTTATCTATTTACCTAACATGTCAGCAAAAGGACAAAGCTTTATCAATTTACCAAACATGTCAATGTTTGGAATAACATAGATAAAGCTTTGTCCTTTTGCTGACATGTTTGGTAAATTGATGAAGTGTTTTCCTTTTGAATGACAGCAAAAGGCCAAAATTTATAAATTTACCAAATATATCACCAAATGGTAAAAACTTGATCACATACATGTACCACTGGTCACCACACTTGATCACATACATGTACCACTGGTCACCACACTTGATCACATACATGTACCACTGGTCACCACACTTGATCCTGATATTTGGTTTAACGTATAGTACCAGACAACCATTACCAATATAACGATGATGTGAAGAAATAGATAGCAATTATATTGTTTTTGCAGATTTTGCTTTAGTGAGTCTTTGCTTGAAGTTGCCATACATGTATGCATATGCCATACGCTATTTATGTCATCAAGTTTATTAGCTTTTTATGTGACAAATTTTTGTTATATTTACTTGTTTGTAGTTGAAGCAATTAAATGGACAAGGAGTTTGCATGAGTTCTACCGCATTGTAGTTTTGATCAGCTTGTCTATGTATTGATGTTGTTGATGTACTGTATAGCCCTTTAAATTTGCGCGGTCAGTATTTCACGGTTTTGTATTCGACAGTACACATTTGGGGGGGGGGGGGGGGTGTTACATTACGCTGTGCACCCGAATCCCATGTGTCGTGCAAAGTATTTTGAGTGTCATTTTGTAAGGGTTAAACCCTGTTAAATACAGGTAAACCTTTTGAAAACACTGATCCCGAGTGACTTCACTGAAAATCAAATGTGTATGTATCTTTGTAGGAGTAAACTGTAATCTAGTTAATGTGACCACTTATATGTAAGTGTTGTTTTTACATGAACTGACCAGTTGTCCTGTGATAATCTGATTTGAGTTCATTTAAGCTTGCATAACAGCGTTGGGTTATAAGTATTTTCAACATGTTGTGATAAGGTCCGTAAAAGTGTTTAACATTTCCGATAATTTCGCTGGTGTTTAGAATTCGCGGATATATTAAGTCAAAGCGCGAATATAGCAAAAATAAAAACCCTGCAAAATATAACGGTTATACAGTACATGTAAAGATTCCTTGTTTATTTCGTTAAATGTTTATTGTTGTACATTTACCCAGGCATTGTGTCTGGAATCTTGTACACCTATATATCCTTTTTTTATTTCTCAGAAATGATAAATTCCTCACTGGAATCCTTTTCATGGAAATAATTTGATTGGAAAAAATAGCTTAGCACACATACATGCAGCTTATATTATTAGCACACAAAAAATTGAAGCTGCACAATTTATTTGCTGAATCCTTTTTGTAGTTTTATACCTTGCTTTTTTGATAGATTTTTTTTATACAATTATGTATACCTTACATCATGAATTTGTAAAGATACTCTCAGATTTAAGATCTTTTTATTTGATGTTTAGCTAAATATATATCAAAATCCTGCACATATTATTTAACTTACATTTTGTAAATATTTAAGGTCATTTGAGAAAAAAACTCATGTGAACTATTGAAATCACCTATGTCCATTGTGGCCTTTATATATGCAATCTATAAAAATACATGTAGTTCTCATTTTCTCAAAATCACTGCAATTTGTCGTTGAAATTTTGATTACTCAATAACATTGAAACTGCATGATTATAATTATGATCGAATTATAATCTATACTCAAAATCTCTCTTGAGTATGTACAACCTGATCCCAAGGTTTAATTAACATGAGGTATCGTTGTGTGGTTTTTATTGTATATAGAAAAATATCCTGCAACAAAATTAAAATATGACGTGGGTGATGCTGCACTAGACAAAGGAAAGACAACTCTTGTACCATTGGTGTGACATCTGCTCACCAGCTTGCAAATGTCTGAAGTTTTAAGATTTAACAGAGCAATACACCTTTTAAACTATGCTAAGTTATAATAAAATAAAGAATGTTACTGATAAATAAAATTTTGACTGAAAAATATATAACTGCTCCATTCAAAATAATTTCCTAGCCTATCATTGGAACAAAGGGCTAGGCTGACAAGAGGAACTCCCACTAATAAAGGGGCCAAAAATAGTAATTGAGACTAAAAAATACAAATGCAAAAGTATAACCAATGCAAACCTAAAGAAGGTAAAACAGTCCAAAACTGGATGTGACTGATGGACAAACATGATTTACTTTGATTATAGTCTATAAATACTTAGACATCATAATAATGATCATAATTAATATAGATCATATATAGTGCCCTATATAATTTGTAAAATTACTCTAAAGCACTTTACAACATATGAATAATAGTATTAGTTATAATTGTGAAACAAAGAAAGGCTTACAATCACCATTATACATTAAAGCAAGAAGATAATCATCGCAATGTGCAAATAAATAAATAAACGGTGGTTACGTACATGACGTACGTACCTTGAATTTGGCCAGGGTATTTGACTTTCTTCTAGCAGATGGTAAGCTATTCCACAACGTGGCCGGAACCCTCCCAAAACACCGGTTCCCATAGGTCACAGTACAAGATTTTGGGACACACAACAATGATTCTGACTCCCTGCACTCATATATGCACACAAGATTTATATGTCATCAATCATCTGTATCAGTTGAGACAAAACCTGACAATCATTTGACAATTAAAACGAAGAAAAACAAAGCTAATACAGAACAGTATAACAGACACAATACATGGATATGAACTAAGCATATGTTTAGATGAAATATCATTCTACCACAATTATTAAAAAAATATGTAAGATACATTTCTAAATTTGTTATCAAGTATTTCCAGTGTACTGTTGTTTGATAAATGATACTAATAGGGACTTTCATTGTTTGCTGACATTTATGACAGCAGTTTTCAATATTGTCTCTTTATACCGTAAATTGATTGGTAATTATCTATCAATTAAAGATTAATAATTGATGTTGATTTTTATGAATTAAGGTAAATTATGATGAAAATATGTGGGTCAAAATGATGATTGTTTTTTTTTTTTACATGATAGCGGACCAAGCAAGTCTAAAAGGGGGATGGATGCCTTCAACCAATGACGGGAGTCAGTGGATACAGGTTGTGCTAAACGAAACCTACATAATCCACCAGGTTCAGCTACAAGGCCAGGAGGAGGAGGACAACTGGGTCACAACGTTCAGTGTCAGCTACAGTTCTGATGGCACTGTTTGGACGACTTATACCAATGCTTCTGGTGCAAGTGTAAGTATGGTTCTACCCGTCTAGTCCAAACACCTGTACAATCCGACCCACAGAGTGTTCTGACATCCTTGTCTATCAAACCACTTAGGAGTCTGATATCCTTTATAAATCAACATGAAGCTTGAAAGGTAGTCCCAATTAACCAATATATGATGTTTGTGGTAAATAAATTCAAGTTGAAATTTTTATTTTTTTATGAGGCCAAAAATGACCCATAACGTCTCAAGACCAACCCTCCAGTTATGAATTGTTGAGTTTATTTTACAGGTGTTTGCTGGGAGTACTGATCGGTCAACAGTGGTCACTGTAGAGCTTGACCCCATCGTGGAAACCAACTACATCCGTATCAACCCTGTCACCTGGAACAACAACATAGCCCTCCGATTTGAGCTTGTTGGCTGTTCTGTTAGCAAGTACACATACCGTAAGTACCTTTAACCACAATAGCAATGCATTCATTTCATGTCAAAATGTTCCAAAACCAAACGTTAATTTTAGCTTTAACTCATGTAGAGGTATTGGGAACAAGTAGTCATTGTGTTTGATAAGGCAGACCCCCCCCCCATAAAAAAAACCTCTTGTCTATCTATTTTAAAGCATCCAAGTATACCACTAGCAACAAGTCAAATAGAACCACTCTCAATATCAAAATTGAATGTATTTTTTCTTCTTAACTACTGACATATGTCCGGATTCTCAGTGTGAATTCCCTTAAGTATATATTGAAGCCATTTAGTGCTAACATGCTTTATGTTGTTTCTGTATGTGTTTCCCTGACCAGACCGGACGACATGTGAGCGATGTCTGACCACCAACTACTGTGTAGGAGATGGGACCTCGTTACCATGTGGACGGTGTGATCCGCTCCAGGCCAACTCCACGTGTGGACGCTCTCAGACCGAACACTCGTTTGGACTTGCGTCCGAATGTACCACATGTCCACTCGGCTGGGTTGGTAACTATATCATTTGCTTCAAACGTTTCAAAATATATCTTATAATAGGCCTTATTGCAATAAAAGGTGTTCTTGTTTTAAGGTGTTTGTTTATAGTCTAAGGATAAATCAAATTTAAAGAATACTCAGTATTAAACCACATAAAAACAAAATAATTCTTTAGATTCAATGCTCCTAAAACTTTCATCCTTTGAAAACAACTAAATTTGCTTTGCTCCTTATATGTTCAGACCAAACCTGCCTCAAAATGTCGAAACTTGAGAGAGGAAAAATACAGGAATTTTAGAATCTTTATCCATGTTTTTGTGCAATTTTACAAAGAACTATTTGTTAATGTGATGTTGTCAAAGGTATTTCTCATTTGGTTGTTTGGCATCTTTAAATATTTCCCTCCCTCAGCTGTGTAATGAGGGGTACACCACACCCTGCCCAGATTATCACTGTATATAATATCAGTAACTGTTTCCCTCCCTCAGCTGTGTAATGAGGGGTAAACCACGCCCTGCCCAGATTATCACTGTATATAATATCAGTAACTGTTTCCCTCCCTCAGCTGTGTAATGAGGGGTACACCACACCCTGCCCAGATTATCACTGTATATAATATCAGTAACTGTTTCTCTCACTCAGCTGTGTAGTGAGGGGTTCACCACACCCTGCCCAGAATATCACTGTATATAATATCAGTAACTGTTTCTCTCACTCAGCTGTGTAGTGAGGGGTACACCACACCCTGCCCAGATTATCACTTTGTATATAAATATCAGTAACTGTTTCCCTCCCTCAGCTGTGTAATGAGGGGTACACCACACCCTGCCCAGATTATCACTTTGTATATAAATAACAGTAACTGTTTCCCTCCCCCAGCTGTGTAGTGAGGGGTACGCCACACCCTGCCCAGATTATCACTGTATATAATATCAGTAACTGTTTCTCTCAATCAGCTGGGTAGTGAGGGGTACGCCACACCCTGCCCAGATTATCACTTTGTATATAAATATCAGTAACTGTTTCCCTCCCCCAGCTGTGTATACCTAGTGATGGGTACTCCAAATCCTGCTCAGATTACCACTATGTATATAAATAACAGTAACTGTTTCCCTCCCCCAGCTGTGTAGTGAGGGGTACGCCACACCCTGCCCAGATTATCACTATGCCACCTGCAATGATACCAGTTGCCCCACCTCCTGTACCCAGTGTGGGACTGGCTATGCGTGCAGAGGAGGTCAGAGATATGAGTGTGATGTTGGCACTTACTCAAATGGAACAGTAGGTAAGTAAATTAGAGAACAGATATGATTTTTCCCTATTTCGAAGAAAATGTATGTTTATTTTGCCCTTTTCAGTGTTTATTTCATTACAGTAAGTTACTTTTTTCCAATTGTAGAATTTCCGTTCATTTTGTCCTTTTTTGTGTTTATTTCATTTCAGTAAAATACTTATAGCATGCATATGTTAGCATGTTAATTAATGGTATTAATTTCAAGGGCTGTTGATTGCAATTTGAAAATCCCAAGAAATTATTATCACAATAAAACAAGGAATGTATATAGCTTTTCTTGTTTCTTTCCTGAGTGAAAGTCCTCAGGAATTAAATGAGTGCAAAAGTAAGCATTCACAAAAATTAAGCTAGTTTCAGAACTAAATCAGCTAAAATGCCATTTCACATTTACAGGAAGGATATTTCATGCATCGATCATTTATTGTAAATTTGTCATAACAGTTCATCGTACCTCATCTATTTATAGAGTTTTGTCAGCTCTGTGTGCCGGGGACGTACCAAGACCAAACGGTCCAAGGGAGCTGTAAATTTTGTCCAGCTGGCTATACTAGCTCCACAATGAAGGATCGGTGCCAAGTGTGTCCTTTAGATACATACTCTGATGGGCTTGGAAGCACCTGCCTGAATTGTCCCTCGACACTTGAGTGTCCGTGTCTGGTGACCGGCTCACCCTGTCATAGTAACAGTCTCTGCTACAACATGAAGATCGGTGGAACTTACTCAACAGGTTGTCTCCCTTGTCCAGATGGGTACACCGGAGATGGAATCACTTGTACTGACATTGATGAGGTAAAATATGAACCCTTCAACAGATTTAGTTTACATTTTTACCTTCTTATAGCTAACATCATGTTCCGGTCCTGATTTTGTTTTCTGCTATCGAATCGAGGCTGATTCAGGGTGAAAGTTCACACAAGTTTGCATACATTATAAACCATGCACATTTGAGGGTAAAAACTAAACCTAAGTGCAAGATGGCCTGCACCCTCTCACATATTTAGTTAGACTTCTTCAGAAGAAGCAACAGGTCAAGTGTCAAGATGATTGACTGTTGCTTGCTGGTAATGGACTGATGCAAAGTTTTCGAAAACACAACCTTGACTAACATTCATGGTTACAGGGGTCAAATTATTATAACACTCAAATAACTTTTTTGGAATTTAATTTTCTTTCATATTGCCATAATTGGAACAAAAGCCTCATGTTGAGAAAATTCATTTTTGCTTTGGGTCCTGGACATTTTTTAAATAGATGCAAAAAAGAGATTTTTATTGGCCATTCAATATTGAAGTAAATGAAAACAAAAGAATGAAAATATGATGAACAATCTAGAATTTATGTTGGCCTATTACAGTAGGTCCCCCGAGATCCCTGAAGTGCTATAACTAATTTGCTGTTGAATATTTCTGTCCTCAGTGTGCGCAACACAACCCATGCTGGAACAACAGTGCCTGTATAAACACGTCCCCGGGGTACCAGTGTAGGGCCTGTCCCTATGGCTACACCGGCACTTTTGAGGATGCACTCTCCATTGATATACACAGGCGGACATTTGAATTGTACAACACAGTATGGACCAACACCAACCAGTCCTGTGCTGACATCAACGAATGTCTCGTGAACAATGGAGGATGTAACGCCAATGCCTACTGCTACAATACTGTGGTAGGTAGTTTGTGTTATACATGAAGATAGCTATAAGCTAAAGCCTTTTGGATTGAAAATGCACAATTTAATGATTGCAAAGTCTAAAACCTTTGATGATTGATTACAGTGTAGAACTATTGTAGGTTGCATGTTAGCCTGTTAACTTTATAAATTTTGAAGGTTATCTTTGTTCTGGTAAAAATAAAGGTCACAAACTTTTTGATAACTGCCTGTTTGCTGAATCTTTGAGGATTGCGTTAACACTGGTAGAAACAAGGTTTAGAACCTCTGATGATTTCCTGGGTACTTGTAGAAACAAGGTTTAGAACCTCTTATGATTTCCTGGGTACTGGTAGAAACAAGGTTTAGAACATCTGATGATTTCCTGGGTACTGGTAGAAGCAAGGTTTAGAACCTCTGATGATTTCCTGGGCACTGGTAGAAACAAGGTTTAGAACCTCTGAGGATTTCCTGGGTACTGGTAGAAACAAGGTTTAGAACCTCTGATGATTTCCTGGGTACTGGTAGAAACAAGGTTTAGAACCCCTCTGATGATTTCCTGAGTACTGGAAGAAACAAGGTTAAGAACCTCTGATGATTTCCTGGGAACTGGTAGATTAGTAAGGTTTAGAACCTCTGATGATTTCCTGGGTACTGGTAGAAGTAAGGTCTATAAGATTGGGATTCAGTGCAGACTAGAGTCTATCATTGTTAATTTGCTTTCAGGGGAGTTACTACTGCGGACTATGTAAGCCGGGGTACGTTGGAGATTCTGTCAATGGCTGTCAGCTGGCCGACTACTGTGTAGCAGGTATCCACAAATGTAGTTCCAATGCCGAATGTTACTACACAGGTCCTGCGGAATATCGCTGTGAGGTACAAGTTTCATCTGACAATATGACTATAATAAGCATAGAAAATGGTTATTAACAAAAAATTCACAAAAACTCTTTTCTTATACTGAAAGATTCAATGTTTACTGATGAGCAATCAATATGCTGTTTGTTTATATTTGTTGTATTAACAGAGAATGAGTTTGAAAAATCTTGTGTAAAGAAGTTTGGGGTATGAGGCACTATTTCATATATCGAGATGCATCAAATTAGAGGTCTTAATATCAGAGAAATGAATATTTTTTAAAAGTAACGTTGAAAACAATCTTCACTTATATGTTATGGAATTTTCTCTGAACATCCAAGATGACTATAAGTGCCATGATATTTGGCCAAAGGTATGCTGGAATTAAGGACTATGAAATAACCTTGACTCAATGGGCCTTCTCTTATGTGTTTTGGGAAATGTCTCCTTCCTAAAATGGGAAGGAATTGGCTGTGAACATATTAAAATGACTTTTTTAAGAACTTTAATCCTTCTGGTTATTAAGCATTTATAAAGAAACCGAGAAATTATGTTATGCTCTGGAAGTAAATCTAAAAATCTGGCATGTTTTTGCATACAGTGTAAGGCTGGCTGGGCAGGAGACGGCTATATCTGTGGTGAGGACACGGACGTGGATGGAAACCCAGATTTAGGACAGTCCTGCTCTTCCAGGAAATGTGTAAAGGTGAAGAACTTTCCACAGGTTTCATAAATAATGTCTTCAATGAGCAATGTGAGATATGAATACTCCACCCGAGGGTTCATAACTTAGGAACAAGGCTTTTGTCAAAGTGTAGCACAGCGTGACTTTGTCAAGGACAATCAAACTTACTGGTGTAGTATGGTAATATGAAGGTCATGGTGAAATGAAGTGCAGTTCATTTCACCATTATGGTAATATGAACCGCAGTTCATTTCACCATTATGGTAATATGAACCGCAGTTCATTTCACCATGCTTTTCAATACCATGCTACACCTGTGGTACATAGCTCTGCTGGTACAGCATAATTGGATCGAACTGTGTCCAAAAATCACATCTAGGTGAAAAAATCCTATCATACAGTGATGCATTAAGATACTGAATATTTTACTTCAGTTTACTAGGATGATATGTTGCCAATTTTTGTTTTTGTTCACGCAGGTGGAAAAGTTACTAAGGCATTGGACATAAATTTGTACATGGTAGTTGTATAGATTTTATTGTTATGCTTTCTCTCTCTTGTTACATCATCATAAAAAAGGCAATTATTTTCATAACATCATTATATTGAAAAAATTTCTCTTAATCAAATTTTGATTGCTGCAAACAGTGTAAATACGATGGCAAAAATGCAGTGGAACATATGGAGATTCCAACAGGGTATAACTAAACACTGGAGTGATGCCGTTACCAATAGGAAAATCTAGCCTGCATGAACAACTCAGTCCTGATTGTCTACTGTAATATTGGTTATAATGTAACTCAGTCCTGATTGTCTACTGTAATATTGGTTATAATGTAACTTTTGCACTAAGTTAAATGCCTGGTAATTGTTTTTAGGACAACTGTCGGCTCAAAGTTAACAGTGGACAGGAGGACATTGACGGAGACTCGGATGGTAACATATGTGACTACGACTCGGACAATGATAACGTCTTCTACGATGAGTCAGTAAGTGTAACCAGTGCTTGTGATGTAATTATATCTGTTTAAACTTACATAATTTAAAAAAAAAGTATCAGGATGGATCTTATACCTGCTTTGTTCGACCTTGCTTTTTTGTGTCCAGGACAACTGCCCATATGTGTCTAACGTCGACCAGCTTGACACGGATGGTGACGGGCGCGGAGACCTTTGTGACAACTGTATCAACACAGCCAATTTTGACCAGGCTGACGTGGACGGGGACGGGGTTGGCGATGCCTGCGACACGGACATTGATGGAGATGGCATCCTTAATGGAGCGGATAACTGTCCATATGTATCTAACGCAGGTAAGGTGATGATTGATTGATTGATTGATTGATTGGGGCCACATTGGCAAAGAGGTTAAGGCGTCTGACACTACCACTATAGCCCTCCATCACTGGCTCGTTGGTTCTAGGCCTACGTGGGGCAGTTCTCAGATACCGAGGTTCTCAGGTAGGTCGGTGGTTTTTATCCAGGAACTCAGGCTTTCCTCCACAACCAAAACCTGGCACGTCCTTAATTGACCATAGCTATTAATAGGACATAACACCAAACCAAATGATTGATAAAACATCTAAGGGGACAGCATCCTTAGTGGAGCAGATAACTATGAATATTTAACGCTATAAATACTTGACACTGGTGATGGATGGAACAATTGAGGGTCAGTAATCTTAAGCTTACTGCAGAATTATACTTGTGTTCTTAATAAATAGATTGTACAAATGCAGATTCTTCATGCAAAACTATGATAATGATGCACTACTTCTTTTTAATGAGACTCTTCATTTCATATCTGATGCATCATTAAACACATATTTTTTTTAACATGATAGGACAGACAGACACGGACGGAGACACAGTCGGAGACAGTTGTGACAATTGTCTGTCTGTGTCTAATAATGCACAGACTGACACCAATGAGAACGCTGTTGGAGATGACTGTGATGGCAGTGACAGGTGAGTTATATCATAAAAGCGAGGACAAATTTCTATTGAGGGTTTAATAATGTGTCTTTTATATCAATTTTGAATATTATTCTCCAGGGTCTTACAATTTGGCCCATGGAAATCCACATGGAGAAAAGGACAAGAATATTTTTTTCTCATTACTGAAGTAATTCATTTTTAAACAGTTTTTTAGCGTGATTTTGTTGCTGAAATGAAGGGTATTGTATCAATGCATGTGTATATATCCACTCCACATCTAAACAATAGAAATACACTCATTAAGTAATACATATACAGTACAATCATAATGTTTGAAAGTGTTTGTTTCTCACTCTGTTATTTACACATTGACCACCACCACCATGCCCCTCCCCTCTGAAGGATATAGGTGAAGCAAGATTAGACCCCCCCTCCCAAAAAAAAAAAAAAAAGAAAGAAAGAAAGGCAGAGCAAAATAAGACTTTTTTGGAAAGATATGTGTATGCTTACAATAAAAGAAAGAACTCAGAAATTTAACTGTTCTGACTGTTTTGTGCCTGTAGAGATGGCGATAGTATCCCCGACGCTCTGGACAACTGTGTCGAGGTTCCCAATGGAGAGCAGACAGACACAGATGGGGATGGAACAGGTCGGTGCTTTATCCTATTGTGCCAATATTTAAAAGCAAAGGCATTTCACTGTTTTTTAAAGATTTGTATATAGTTGGCCTGACATGATGAATATGATGTATTTTCCTTGATATAGCTAACAAGAATTGAAAATGTAATGGCTAAATAGATGTATATTGATTTTTAGCCTTCAAATAAAATTGCACAAATTATATTAATGCAGATTTAATAGCAACATTGACTTTCTTAATACCAACATAAACTTTGTGTTGTAGTGTTGTTCTCAATGTCAAGCTGTCAAACGTTTTATACTGACACTCATGTTTGTAAAACGTTGCCCTCAATGTCTTACCTGTGACGTTGTGTGTTGTAGTGTACGTAGTTCTCAATGTCAAGCTGTCAAACGTTTTATACTGACACGTATGTTTATAAAACGTTGCCCTCAATGTCTTACCTGTGACGTTGTGTGTTGTAGTGTACGTAGTTCTCAATGTCAAGCTGTCAAACGTTTTATACTGACACGTATGTTTATAAAACGTTGCCCTCAATGTCTTACCTGTGACGTTGTGTGTTGTAGTGTACGTAGTTCTCAATGTCAAGCTGTCAAACGTTTTATACTGACACGTATGTTTATAAAACGTTGCCCTCAATGTCTTACCTGTGACGTTGTGTGTTGTAGTGTACGTAGTTCTCAATGTCAAGCTGTCAAACGTTTTATACTGACACGTATGTTTATAAAACGTTGCCCTCAATGTCTTACCTGTGACGTTGTGTGTTGTAGTGTACGTAGTTCTCAATGTCAAGCTGTCAAACGTTTTATACTGACACGTATGTTTATAAAACGTTGCCCTCAATGTCTTACCTGTGACGTTGTGTGTTGTAGTGTACGTAGTTCTCAATGTCAAGCTGTCAAACGTTTTATACTGACACGTATGTTTATAAAACGTTGCCCTCAATGTCTTACCTGTGACGTTGTGTGTTGTAGTGTACGTAGTTCTCAATGTCAAGCTGTCAAACGTTTTATACTGACACGTATGTTTATAAAACGTTGCCCTCAATGTCTTACCTGTGACGTTGTGTGTTGTAGTGTACGTAGTTCTCAATGTCAAGCTGTCAAACGTTTTATACTGACACGTATGTTTATAAAACGTTGCCCTCAATGTCTTACCTGTGACGTTGTGTGTTGTAGTGTACGTAGTTCTCAATGTCAAGCTGTCAAACGTTTTATACTGACACGTATGTTTATAAAACGTTGCCCTCAATGTCTTACCTGTGACGTTGTGTGTTGTAGTGTACGTAGTTCTCAATGTCAAGCTGTCAAACGTTTTATACTGACACGTATGTTTATAAAACGTTGCCCTCAATGTCTTACCTGTGACGTTGTGTGTTGTAGTGTACGTAGTTCTCAATGTCAAGCTGTCAAACGTTTTATACTGACACGTATGTTTATAAAACGTTGCCCTCAATGTCTTACCTGTGACGTTGTGTGTTGTAGTGTACGTAGTTCTCAATGTCAAGCTGTCAAACGTTTTATACTGACACGTATGTTTATAAAACGTTGCCCTCAATGTCTTACCTGTGACGTTGTGTGTTGTAGTGTACGTAGTTCTCAATGTCAAGCTGTCAAACGTTTTATACTGACACGTATGTTTATAAAACGTTGCCCTCAATGTCTTACCTGTGACGTTGTGTGTTGTAGTGTACGTAGTTCTCAATGTCAAGCTGTCAAACGTTTTATACTGACACGTATGTTTATAAAACGTTGCCCTCAATGTCTTACCTGTGACGTTGTGTGTTGTAGTGTACGTAGTTCTCAATGTCAAGCTGTCAAACGTTTTATACTGACACGTATGTTTATAAAACGTTGCCCTCAATGTCTTACCTGTGACGTTGTGTGTTGTAGTGTACGTAGTTCTCAATGTCAAGCTGTCAAACGTTTTATACTGACACGTATGTTTATAAAACGTTGCCCTCAATGTCTTACCTGTGACGTTGTGTGTTGTAGTGTACGTAGTTCTCAATGTCAAGCTGTCAAACGTTTTATACTGACACGTATGTTTATAAAACGTTGCCCTCAATGTCTTACCTGTTACGTTGTGTGTTGTAGTGTACGTAGTTCTCAATGTCAAGTCGTCAAACGTTTTATACTGACACGTATGTTTATAAAACGTTGCCCTCAATGTCTTACCTGTGATGTTGTGTGTTGTAGTGTACGTAGTTCTCAATGTCAAGCTGTCAAACGTTTTATACTGACACGTATGTTTATAAAACGCTGCCCTCAATGTCTTACCTGTGACGTTGTGTGTTGTAGGAGACTACTGCGATACAGATATAGATGCTGATGGTGTCCTCAACACGGTCGACAACTGTGTGTATGTGGCCAACGCTGCACAAACAGACGTTGATGGTATGTAGTACATAATGTCAGATTTCAATTGATCCTTGGCTGATTTTCAATGATGTTGGACTTGTTTATTAAGTGTAGGAGTAAATCATCGATGACCACATTCAAGAACAGCAATATGAATGTTAAAATTTGACAGGGTGTGGTTTTTTTTTAACTTCTTTAAATCACAATTAATTATTTGATAATTTTGATTTAAAGTAATGTTGCGCAAATCACTGCATTAATGTGTAATAGGTAGCTAGCTGATTCTTTAGAAATATAATGTACCTGTGGACAGGTAATCACCGAGGAGATGCCTGCGAGAGTGACCTTGACAATGATAGCGTGCTGGACGTAGATGACAACTGTCCCAAGAATAAAGACATATCAGTCACTACCTTTGCTGAGTACATCTCACTGGACCTGAACCCAAGCTTGACGACGGAGAAAGCCCCAGTATGGTCTGTACAGGATGCTGGGCGTGACATTTGGCAAATGGAATCCACACTGAAACCTGTCGCACTCATTGGTGAGGCTATACTCTTATGTTGAGTGGACGGATGTAAGATTACTTGATGTCTGTTTTTCAATAATTTGAGAAATGAATGTTTATATTACCTGAAATCAATGGCAATAACTCAATATTTAAAAAAATGGATGAACAAAAATCCAAGTAATTGGTTATTCTGCTAGCTGTGCCTCAAATTGAAGATGGACATTTTAGTTGCCTGCTACTTAATGTGATGTTTTAAAGTAAAAAAAAAAAAAAGACAATTTCAATGAAAATGACCATTTCATAGATTTGTTTTCATCAAAAGCATTTAATGTTAGATAATATTAGTCTTCATAAAACAGAGTTGATAGATCAGTCACAAAAAGAAAACAGTCAGGACTGATTTTGTGTATATCGTGTTTCTTATCAATAGGAAGCAAATACTTCGACCATGTGACTGTCACGGGGACGACCTTTGTGAACACAGACGATTGTTACGGATTCATTGGCTTTATAGTGGGTTACCAGAGTAACACCAAGTACTACCTTGTTACCTGGAGGCACATTCACCTCAACCTAGAGGACCAAGGTGGCATCAAGGGAGTGCAACTCTGGGTGAGGATACATAAGTTGGCTTGAAATTCAAAAAATCTATAATTTAGAATTGACTTTCATTTTTAGAAGAAGAAATTATATTAATTGAGTTTTTTTTTATATTATAGCAAACAGCTTATCAATAATTTACTGTTTAATCCTCTATAATTTGTGTTAATCGTCCATATTTAAATTATTTTTGTTTAATTCTTGCTTTGGAATTAAAAGAAAAATATGAGAAGATTACATAACTAAAAGCATTAACTATACCAATAGAAATTTTATGAAATTTAGTAGTTGAAACGTTTTTGTTGTGTTGATAGAACTTTCATATGCTGTTTTAATTATTCGACATATTAATTGTGCTGATAGGCGTTTTTTGAGTAGTTTGGAAGAAACAGTAATTGCCATTTTGCTGATAATCTTTCTTTGAGAATTTTTATAGAGTTGAAGCTTAAATTATCCTGATAAGGAAATTCATTTTCAGCTCATGTTCAAATCCTTTGTTATGTTTTGCTTACATCTTCAATATGATATAACAAATACTGCTTTTGATAAACAAAGCATTCAAAAGCATTGACCTCTACAATATCTGTACAAATTTACTTATTTCCATCGCCATTAGACTCCCTTCCTTGTTTTCTTGTACACAAGATGTAATAATTTTGACAGCAAGAAGAAGAAAAAAAGCCATAAATGTGTTTCCCTATTATAAACGAGTTTTGCATGATTACAGCTGATAGACTCCACCACAGCTCCTGGGAACAATTACGCAAAGGCACTGTATCATGGATGTGACACCACAGACACAGCTACACTACTGTGGCAGGACCCGACTCTGGCTGGCTGGGAGTGTACCACTGGGTACAAGTGGACTGTACAACACAGCCCTTCTGTGGGCCTCCTCAGGTAAGTCAACTTGAAAGCTACTCCTTTTTTATCTTGCCTTTGTGCAGAGTCTATTATAGTATCTAAACATTTAGTACTTTGTAAATGCTCATAGCAAACTAAGTGAAGTAGTTTGGGATGGTATTGATGCAGAGTCCATTCTTTTATGTTCCAACTAGTCCTTGGTCTTATTCTGTGAATCATCTGGTATCGTTGGTTTTGCATGGGTTTGACAGTACAAAGCATGTCAGAACACACTAATAATGGTACGGCCCAGGTAACACAATGATCAGGAACCTGAGAGTTAATCACTCGATCAGGCAGTTAGCTTTTGACAGACATTGTCTTGCAGCTTGCGGACAGCTTCGGGCAGTTTGAAAAAACATCAGTTGAGGGATACGCCCGTAAATCTCCGGGTGTACTCCTAAATGGAATGGTGCAGCAACCACTTTTGGTCAGGAGAGCAATTCTAGACTCAAGCATGTCAGTTTGACGAATTCAGGGTAACTCCTAACCTACATGACCTTGATCATAGCCCCCTGACATTTGTGTTAAACCCAGTGGGATTGCCTTTTAGGAATATCGAGTTTGGTCTCACTCTCACGAACACAGTTTTGTGGCATTTTCGTTGACATTCCCTGCCTCCCAGCCGTATTGGGTCATTAGAAAATTAGCCAGGCTGTATGCCATTCGGTATCATGGGCAATTCGTATGTCAAATCAAAGGCCACGGCAGTAAGGTTTTCTGTATTTGAAGTGTCAACTTGAAGAAGCATTTTGAGAAAACAATCCTGAGTTGGCACTGCTGCAGGCAGGCCCCCTATCTCTACAGGCAGTTGTGACTGATGGTCACAAAGTAGTGGATGGTATGGTTTATGAGGATGTGGGTCAGGCAGAACTTGATGTTTTTCCAAAGAGTGTTCAGTTGTTAGCGATCCTCTGATGAGGATATACAGAATGAAAATGACACAAAGGTCTCTGAGGTTGAAGCCAAGCAAGTTTAATATGGAATACACTCCCTTAGGGGTGACATAGCCATGAGTATCAATGAGAAGGTGTGCCCACTCTATCGTCATCGTTGGTTTTTAGTCCACTATGCTGCTCAGTATGTTGGTGGCTCCTTCGTTGGCAACACAATCAGATAGAACCTGCCTGATAGAGAATTCTTCTGTAGCAATGGCTCCTGTTTTCTCAGGCTTGCAACCTGCAATGGTTCATTGGGATTGGCAACTGTATAATTGCAAATGAACTCTGCCGGCACATCTAACAATTCAGATAATTGAGTTATGGTTGGGAATGGAGTTATAGAAGTACAGTACATCAGAGGTCAACATTCCTATTCAAGATATGAAGACTCTGGTGGTGGACATTCTACTTCAGGACTTAAACGTAATAAATACACACACAATTCCCCCGTTCCACCTGGTGGACAGAGTGCTTACAATGTTATGAGAGCAGTTATGTATGGTGTTTATCTTGGCACTTCTTTGGCAGAGGCAGTCATAGTTCCTTGAGTTGTTGTCTCTTTTGGTAAAAGAAATCTTTCACAGCAGCTTTGGTTCAGAACGATACACTTACCTCTGGAAATACTCCACTTTCAGTCTTGGAGGATACAACGATAGGTTCACTAAAGGCAGATTGAATCAGATCGCTTCACAGAGCAGGTCGTTCTCGTTTGGTGTCAATCCCAGTGAAAGATGTAAAGTGACTGGTGTATTGAAAGGCAAGTTGATCCCGCCGAGGCAACGTGATCTAAACTTATCAATTGGCACGTTGTGTGCTATTGTTCGGGGTAGGTGGTTTGTTTTCTTATCATGGCAAGTGTGATTTTGAAGTGCTTTATCCCTTTCTGCTGAATAGAAAAACTGGTTTGGAAAGACTTAGCGTAAGGAAGATTCATTATAGTGGAAGTTGGTTTTGGTACTGTATTTGATGCAGGAACTTTACCATATGAGTCAAAGAGGTCATTCTCTTTGAATTCTGTTATTTTGAAGACAGTGTTACTGATCAATTTGTCGCCAGGATGTAAAAGAGTGAGGAAGAAGTTTTGTCGTCGCATCCTTGTCTGCAGTGGTCAAGAAATTATTCTGTTGTGACCTTCCTCACACTGATCCGGCCTTTATGGCTATGAAGCAAGTTCTTTGGTTTACAGCAGTCAAATAGGATCTCCTTGCTGGTGGTTCTCGTGTATCCTGAGGAGTGAAGGAGGTTGTTTTGTTCTTGTCAGGCTCTTCCATTTTAACTTGACAATGGGGTGAAAGGGAGCTCCTCACTCTCGGCTGTGTTTGCCAATAAAATAAGGTATACAGGATATCTTCTCCCAGTCATTATCAACGTTTATCTGCCAAGTGATCAAATTAGCTTAAAGGTAAAGGACATTCGGGCATTGTACATGTATAACGATAGGTAAATCGGTAGGTAAATATAGTTAAGGCCCTTGTGTCCTGGACCTTTTTCAATGTCTATTCCTTCAAGGAAGTTACATCTGCAGGTTTCTAGCATGGACAGTTTTCAAACATACATTTTTGGCTTCTTGTTCTAGGGTTATTCGTTCTTTTTGTCCAGGGTTTTGGGCTATTTGGCTGTCCGTCGCAAGTGTTTTTGCAATACTAAAATACATGAGCATACATAATTTAGTACAGTAATGGTAAGTTCTCATTGTGAAAATTGCTTGTATATGTGGTGTGTGTTCAGGATGCCTGCATTCCTGTATTTCATCCAGCGTCCAGTTATCATAAAAACTCATTTGATTGACGAAGAGTTATACTTTCATAAACCACAATTATACCACCAACAGTCATATTTATTTCAATGCTAATATTAGTTAGATGAAATGATTTATAAAATTGCTTATAAATTTTAGGGTGCTCATTGAACAAGGGACAACAACCATTGCCGATTCTGGTTATATATATAATGTGGCCATCAATGGTGGACGCTTAGGCGTATTTTCCTATAACCAGACCCAATCAGTGTGGTCCAACCTTGTCTACAGGTGTACAGACAGGTAAGTCGTCACAGGTATACAGATTGGTAGATACAAAAGGTACATAAACCATTATTATAGATATACAGACAGGTAGTCATCACGGGTATAAAGATTGGTAGGTACAAAAGGTACATAAGGTCAAAACATGTTAAAGAACATTTAAGGCATCACGGGATCACAGATTAGTAAGCCATCACAGGATAACTGGTGTTCAGATAAGCATGTCCTACATCATAATATCTGCAGACCACTTTCACTTTCACATTACAGCTAAAAAGACACTGAGGTCCCTTATGCAATCAACATCAAATATTTTAAGCGGAGTCATGTGCTAAAAGCGTCTACTAAGGATTGTTTTTTTAAGTCAAAACAAAAAATGTCAAGGCTATCTCCTACATATGATGATCAGTTTCCATACAATAAGTTGATAACTACCTTGGCTAAGAGTATGTGCTAGAGATTGATTGTTAGCGCTAAGAAGGTCACCGTTATTACTAGCAAAATATTTTAATGTTTCCGACTTCAAAGATATATACTATTACCGTTCAACCCATTCAGAGTAAATGGGAAGTACAGTATTTGAGACAATTTAAAGGCAATATGATGATTCCTGATTTAGCAAGCTACAGTGTTTTAGATTTTAGATTTTAATACTGTCATAATTGAGTCCTGGCGAAAGAGCATGGTCACCCCTCACTCCGACGCCGTTTGGCTTCATATTAGAAATGTTGATTATGACATTTATTAAATTATTAAAAATCTATTTATACTCAAAATTTGAACATTACAATGTATGTGCATTACAATATGATATTAAATTTAAGGTAATTATATAATGTATCGAGGCGATGTTTTAAGGTAATTATATAATGTATCAAGGTGATGTTTTGAGGTTAACATATCCCGCTTTCCTTATACAGACTGAACTATGCCTTAGAGTTTGACGGAACAAGTACCTATGGAGGAATAGCTAATCTGTCTGACCTGGCAATAGTGAAAAGGTATGGTGTTCATTATTGTCATATAAAACAGTGAAATGTTCAATATATACAATACGTCACAGATATTTTCACAATTAAATGTCTTCGATGGAAAAGTACATTCTTTTAAAATGGACAGCTTTAAAGAATATTCAAGTAATCGGTTTTCTGTCAGAATTTATCATTAATTCATCAATGTCTTTTTTATGTTTTTTATATTAATGAGACATAAGAAATTAAAAAAATTATCATTAATTCATCAATGTCTTTTTCATGTTTTTTATATTAATGAGACATTAGAAATTAATAAATGTGGCATAATATGCAAGTTATATTGATTTCTAGATGATAGCATTTCTTAATGTTTTCTCACGTCTCTTTTTTCACGCCAGTTTTACCTTCGAGTCATGGATTTATCTGCCCAGTGGCGCCCCCTCCACCAAACTACCGATCCTGTGTACCATGACGCGAGAGTTGTGTCTATTTATAGAGGGAAACACCTTCCACACTCAAATTGGATCACATATTGTAGACGGAACGACGACAATTACTGCTGACACCTGGACACACATCGCAACACGATATAATGCTCAGCGTGAGTGTCACATGAGGCATCACTATGCAAGATTCAGTTTGAGTTTCATACTTACCATACGATACTTACACGATTCGCGGGTAGACAAAGTCAAACATCTGCAATAACCTTTGTCATCAGACTCATCGGCCATAGGGTTTAACAGTACATATATTTGAAATATTCGTATACTAGTGTACTGGTAGGGCAAGTTGGACTCACTGCGCCGGTGGCAACTTGTGTCTGACCTTTCAATAGGTTTTTCAAAATGTACAGATATTTCTTTATTTAGTGGGGGGTGGGGGGAGGGAGGGCATAGTAAACCTGCTGTTTGTCTGCATTCAATAAATTGTTATATATATGTTTGTAAAATCAATAAAAAGGAAATTACTTTCTTGTATAAAAAAATAAAGCTTAAGTTTACAAAACTTTTTTAATCCTCAGAGGGAACTTTGACAATGTTTGTTAACGGGGCTGATGGGGGAGTTACCAAAGAAGTAGAGAACACCACCATGGCTGAGACAACATGGGTATGTATTCCGGAGTAAACGTCTCCTACGCAAACATTGATGAACATTTCATCATTATTTTGGGTTCAATTATTATTAAAGCATCAAAAAGGTTAAACGAAAATAACTTTTTAATAACAGTTTTTTTTTTTAAATGTACCTAATGTGTTCTAAACTGTAGTTTCAAAGTTCAAGGTTTAAGTCTTCTTTACGTTGTATTTTTCAAATAAATCAATATTTCAATACAGTCTTTCTTTGTAATGCTCTCAAAGAATTTAAACTTCAACCTCAATCAGAAAGGTTGCAAACATGTACAATTGGTAGCATTAAATTGACAGCTGCCACATATGGTGCTGCAAAAGAACTGTTTTAATGTGATTTTCAGTGTAGTTGTCTCCACACTTTCTGTTGTTGTTATAGTTATTGGCATCAAATTTCCATTTTGTCATTGAGTGTTGATGCGTTTCTTCCCCAGGATCCAACATTGACGTTGTACATCGGGAGGGATAGCAACTACTACTTCAAAGGAATGATTGATGAGGTATGCTCTCCTTACTTCTGTTAGATAGCTGAACCTCAACTTTTCTTTTGTTCTAGCTGATAAGCAGTTGACTGAAAATTTCCTTTTACATGAATAATATTTTATCAAAAGAAACTTTCTTTATTTTGGACTTATTATATGTGAACATTATTTGTTCTATTTCATCATGGACTGCTATATATAAGACTGTCTAGGATTTATCAATGACACAAACGTTTGAATGGTGCTGTTATCATTGTTTCTGAGAATACTCAGGTACACCTTAATATTTACTGAAATGTTGGCATCATGATCCAGAAAATGAGTCTTAGGTTGATAATGCTTAATAGGTTCATAATACATTATGGATGTTATAAGAACCGAAATATCAAAATATTAAATACATATATAATACATTATGGATGAAAAAGAGCCTAAAGATCCAATGTTTTTTAGTTTTTACCTTAATAAAAATACCTGACAAATGTTGCCTTTAACAGGTGAGGATCTACAACATACAGATACCAGATGCTGAGATTGATACATACTGGCAGAAGGCAGGCATGGTCCGCGAGTACAAAAAGTTCACGATGTCAGCTCACTACACAATGGACGGCAACACACAGAGTGAGTAGTGTCTGTACATAGATTGGCTCTGGTATTTTTTACTTGTATTCTGTGCAAGACAACAGTAAAACATATATCTAACCTTATTACATGATAGATTCAAATGTACATACATTAAAACACTAAGGTTTGATCTATAGTAACTAATAATATAATATTTTAAAATGATAATAACTCTTACATGACGCAGAGGTTTAATGAACAAAGTAGCATACACCATTAGATATTGGTTTTTACTTATTGTCTCTAACTTACATGTGTGTTCGTATACGTAGGAAGCCCCTGAATCTTTTCAAAATAGCAAACAACTGTTAGGTTTTTGTGGGAGTTATCCAATGTTATCATATGGCTACCTTGTGATGTGATGACAACATCGATATCTGTCATATTTTGCCTAGTTGTGACATTTTGACGTCACTCTGATAACAATATATATGATGTCAAAATTGTGGCGGCGAGGAATAGAAATGGCTAGGGAAATCTGTTATGGAATTCATATGAAAAAAAGCTCATTAACTCTAGATCTGCAAGGCCTCGCTAAAGTGTAAAAGTCTATAGACTCTATTCATAATTCACATCATCCATGCTACAGATTAAATACTTGAAATGTCAACAGGTTCTTTAGAAGTCATTGAGGTCGAGATTATTTTTTTCACTTTCTAAAAATATTTAAAGATAAATTGCTTTAACAAATGCTTTAAATTAATGGATTTTTTTCTCTGTATTTTAGCCTCGGTGTTGACGGACCAGGGTCCTTTAAAACTTGATGCAACACTTTATGGATCTCCAGCGTTTGTTGAGGTAGGTACTAAGGAATGATCTACTGTTACGTGATCCATTTGCCCCGGTAATGACAACTTATTTGAAACCTTTACAAGCATCTTTTATCATTGATAATGACAATGATTTATTGACATTTTTTGTTTGTAAAACTCCTATCTATTGCAATCAAACATTTTCATGAGTGTGTCAAAGGGAAAAGTTTTCAAAATCCTTCGAAAGAGATGATTCTTTAATAAAAACATATATATATTAACAGAAAAGATTCTTGCCACAATTCCTAACTCGGCTTTTACCCAACTGTCAACTCGTACACCGTAGTCACAAGCTGTAACCACACATAAACACACACACAAACATACTGTTGATGAAATATCTTCTCAATTGTAGAGCACAACGGACTACTTCAGATATTACCACACCAACAACTAGACTTTGACTAATGGACTTGACATCGTAGACGGATCCTCGATATTCTGTTATGTCTAATCCACCTTCAAGGTGGAATACAAACTGCAAATCTCCAAAAAAAGATTTCAGATTTTTTTAAAGTATATGCTTGTGTTAAGAACTTCCTGTTGTCGGATTTACAACAGAGTATGTCTTCAAATATTGGAGCTAAAATGTCTTGAATGTCCAGGCCCAATCAATTATATCATTTTCAGGCTTGAATTCAAACTTTTTGTATTCAAAAGGTACTTTATATTTCGTGCAAAAAGGTTGATATTTTATAATATGTTCCCTGTTTAATTATCAAGAGGACTAGAGTCAAATCACCTAACGGAGCCGAGATGTTTTTGTGAAAAAGAACAAAGATCATTATATGATTCTTTCGTATAACTCTTTTTGCTATAGGAAATGGGTAAAGAATTCAAAGTTGGGGAAAAATCAAAACTAATTGGATCTCTTTATTTGAAATATAACCTTAAAACAATGGGATTATCTGTCTTAATTGTTTACTTTTCGAATATGTCCCAAATAGTTTACGAGTTACAAGAATGATGCTTTGATCATTTATCTTTAGTTTGAGACTGAGAATGATTTGATAAATATATAAACCCATTATTCCCAAAAATAGAACTTCAAATGAGAATATGCATTGCCATGCATAATTCAAAATTGCTCTTAGCAGAAATAGCTAATATCAAATTTTGCTCAAGCAATTCAAAACCAAGAAGTATTAACGGTTAGTATTGACAGTGGTAAAGAAGTGTTGTTTGAAGACGTAATGATTCATCATTGAAAAGTTTAATTAGATTTTGAAACTATGTAGTGATTACCTTGTCTTCTACACCCTTAGTATAGAAATGTTAAATGTAGACTAAGTAAATGTTAGCTGCCAATTAAGTATACACTACATAACTTCACAGTGCGTAAGGTAGCATATACTCTTTATCTTTTATGAAAACTGAACATGCACACATACTTTTGTAAGTGATTCCCTACCTTTTCAATTAAGTTGCTTTGATTTTATGTCACCTGATGGTACTGTATTCGCTCTTCCGATCAAATTTCCTGTACCTGTGTGATGAAATAATATAGCATGACTAACCCATTAGGGATTGATAAATGCTTCTTACTGGTTAATATATATTTCTAATATTTATTTTATGTGCACCCGCTTTTTGTGTATTTTATACAGGTGCTCATTGTATAAATTTGTTCGCGTAAACTTTTATTGTAATGAACTGCTTGTAATTTTGTAAACTCGTTTAAAGTAACATCTGGATGGATGGCTCCATATCACTGTGACATGAATTAGAATCCTATGTGAACTATCACTGACTTACATTAATATTTATTTAGATATATCAAGTGAGAATTGTTTACAAATACAAAATGTCAATATCTGACATCAAACGATTGCAGTGTATTTAAGGTGGCTCGACACATCGTCATCAGCGTCCATTTTCGTGACATACTTCCGGAAAAAGTACAGCTAGGACTCAATTATCTTAATCGAAATGTGCATGTACACCGTGTCGTCATTTCCGTATTGCGTATCGGGCATTCAATATCGTAGTGCAAATTATAGTAACACCTGCTGGGCCGTTTTCGTTTAAACGGTCAAACCGATCGGACCACTGTTGTTCGTTTATTAAATAAGGTCGGACCTAGTAATCTGATGCTGCTTTCAGGCGAGTCTTGAGAAAGCCTTGCAAGGCCTGCATACACATTTGCAGGTCCGCCAGGATTTACACCCGAAATTGTTACATTTATAAACGGTCAAACCGGTTGTTCCGCATAAACGAACAGGCCCATGGTAAACAATAGTACACGTGCGTGCCGATGATATGTCAACACCCGATATCAAGATTTTACCGGGAAATGTATACTCACACGTACTTCAGGAATAAAGCTTTCCAATTCATAGACATAAACAGACTCACGGGAAGACAGTGACATGAGACCAGACGACCTCA